ACATATGGATTCCAGAAGAAAAATGAATAGCTACCCTGAGGACCATCAAACAAACAATAACTCACTGTGTGGTATCAAAGTCTAACTCTCTCTATATTGTTTTTTCATAGTACCCTTTTTATCTTTATTTCTGAAAAAGCTGATTCTGTTATTACACACCTCTTAGAGGTGATGGCTGTTATAGGTATACCTAAAACAATAAAAACTGACAATGCTCCAGCATATGTCTCCAGTAAATTGGAACAATTCTTCAAATATTATAATATAAAACATGTAACTGGTATGCCTTACAATCCCATAGGACAAGCAATAATTGAAAGATCTAACCGAACCTTAAAAGAGATGCTTCATAAACAGCCAGGGAAAACAAAGACACCTAAACACAGGTTACACAATGCTTTACTAACGTTGAATTTTCTTAATGCTGATGAAAAAGGACAAACTGCAGCAGAAAGACACTGGACTACAGAGAAGACTTCTGAACTGAACCAACCGGTGTATTTTAAGGATGTTATGACATCAGTCTGGAAACCAGGATATGTGTTACGTTGGGGAAGGGGTTATGCTTTTGTTTCCACAGGAGAAGAAAAGGTTTGGGTTCCATCAAAATTAATTAAAATTCGATCAGAACAGAAAACATCTCAGGAGGAGGAAGATAACAGCCCATATACAAATTCATAGTCCACCATGGGTAAAGTGACCTCCTAAAAGGAAAGAGAAGTGTTTTGTTTTTTGTATTCACAGGTAAACTCAGCAAAGAATACTGGACTTATGGATTCCTGTAGAAAGAATGAATAGCTACCCTTGTTTGGTATCTTGTGGGTAATTTCTACAATAAATACTTAGTTTTACTTTCAGTAAGTGTGCCGTTTATCGTTACAGCATCATTTGGAGCCTCAATCTAACAAACTAGACATTAAACTGAAATCAATCAAAAGAGATGAATGAGGTTATTTCATATTAATCACAGGAAAAATCCACCAAGATGAAGTCTCGATTATGAACATCTATGCCCCAAATACAAAGGCATCCACATTCGTAAAAGAAACATTACTAAAACTCAAACCACACATAAAATCTCACATACTAATAGTGGGAGACTTCAACACCCCACTGTCACCACCAGACAGGACTGCAAGACAGAAACTTAACAGTGAAACAAAGGAATTAATAGAGGTTATGACCCAATTGGGTTTGACAGACATCTATAGAACATTCCATCCAAACACAAAATAATATACCTTCTTCTCAGCGCCACATGGAACTTTCTCAAAAATTGACCACATACTTGGCAACATAGCAAACCTCAACAGATACAAAAAAGTTGGAATAACTCCATGTATCTTATCAGACCACCATGCTTTAAAATTAGAGTTCAACAACACCACAAACTGCAGGAACCCTACAAGCTCATGGAAATTGAATAATGCGCTATTGCACCACGCCTGGGTCAAAGAAGAAATAATAAAAAAAAGAAATTAAAGACTTACTAGAATTCAATGAGAATGAAGACACAATATATTCAAACTTATGGGACACTTTGAAAGCAGTGCTAAGAGGAAAGTTCATAGCACTAAGTGCCCACATGAAGAAACTGAAGAATAGTTACACTAGAGAACTAACAGCACAGCTGAAAGCTCTAGAACACAAAGAAGCAAACTCACTCAGGAGGAGTAGACGCCAGGAAATAATCAAATTGAGGGCTGAAATCAATAAAGCAGAAACTAGGAAAACAATACAAAGAATCAATGTAACAAAGAGATGGTTCTTTGAGAAAATCAACAAGATAGACAAACCTTCATCCAAACTCACAAATCGGCAGAATGTGAACATGCAAATTAACAAAATCAGAAATGAAAAGGGGGACATAACAACAGACACTGAGGAAATCCAGAGAATCATCAGGTCATATTTTGAAAACCTGTACTCCACAAAATTCGAAAATTTAAAGAAAATGGATGACTTCCTGAATAGATATCACTTGCCAAAATTAAATCAAGAACAGATAAGCAATTTAAATAGACCTATAACACCTAAGGAAATAGAAGCAGTCATCAAAAGTCTCCCAACCAAAAAAAAAAAAAGCCCAGGGCCAGATGGCTTCAGCTTCAGTACAGAATTCTACCAGAAATTCAACGAACAGCTTATACCAATTCTCCTTAAAGTATTCCATGCAATAGAAGCAGAAGGGTCTTTGCCAAACACTTTTTTACGAGGCTTCAATAACATTGATACCCAAGCCACACAAAGACACAACTAAGAAAGAGAACTTCAGACCAATTTCCCTCATGAACATTGATGCAAAAATACTCAATAAAATACTGGCAAATCGGATCCAAGAACACATCAGAAAACTCATCCACCATGATCAAGTAGGCTTCATTCCAGGGATGCAGTGTTGGTTCAACATACGAAAATCTATCAATGTAATCCACCATATAAACAAGCTGAGGAACAAAAATCACATGATCATCTCACTAGATGCTGAAAAAGCCTTTGACAAAATCCAACACCCCTTCATGGTAAAAGTCTTGGAGAGATCTGGGATAACAGGAACATACCTAAACATGATAAAAGCTATATACAGAAAACCAACAGCCAACACAAAACTAAATGGACAGAAACTCAAGGCGATTCCGCTAAAATCAGGAACAAGACAAGGCTGTCCCCTTTCACCATACCTCTTCAATATTGTACTCGAAGTTCTAGCTAGAGCAATAATACAACAAAAGAAGATCAAGGGGATACAAATTGGAAAGGAAGAGGTAAAACTTTCACTATTTGCAGATGATATGATAGTTTACATAACTGACCCAAAGAACTCTACCAGAGAACTCTTACAGCTGATTAACACCTTCAGCAAAGTGGCAGGATACAAGACCAACTCAAGCAAATCAGTAGTCCTACTATATACGGAAGATAAGAGGACTGGGAAAGAAATCAGAGAAACATCACCCTTTACAATTGCCACACACAAGATAAAATACCTTGGGGTAACGCTAACCAAACAAGTGAAAGACCTGTATTGCAAGAACTTTGAGTCTTTAAAGAAAGATATTAAAGAAGACACCAGAAAATGGAAAGATCTCCCATGCTCTTGGATAGGTAGGATCAATGTAGTAAAAATGGCAATCCTGCCAAAAGCAATCTACAGACTCAATGCAATCCCCATCAATATCCCAGGACAATTCTTCACAGACCTTGAAAGAACAATTCTCAACTTTATATGGCAAGACAAAAGACCCAGGATAACCAAGACAACCCTGCTCAACAAAGCAACATATGGAGTCATCACCATTCCTGACTTCAAGCTCTATTATAGAGCTGTAGTCCTGAAAACAGCTTGGTATTGGCACAAAAATAGACAGGTAGACCAGTGGAATCGAATTGAACACTCTGAGATTAATCCACAAACCTATGAACAGCTGATTTTCAACAAAGAAGCTAAAATTACACAATGGAAAAAAGATAGCATCTTCAACAAATGGCACTGGCATAATTGGATATTGGCATGTAGAAGACTGCAGATAGATCCATATCTATCTCCATGCACAAAACTTAAGTCCAAATGGATCAAAGACCTCAACATAAATCCAGCCACACTGAACCTGTTAGAAGAGAAAGTGGGAGGTACCCTTGAACGAATTGGTACAGGAGACAGCTTCCTGAACATAACACCAGTTGCACAAACACTGAGATCGACAATTAATAAATGGGACCTCCTGAAACTGAGTAACTTCTGTAAGGCAATGGACACAATCAGCAAGACAAAAATGCAACCCACAGATTGGGAAAAGATATTCACTAACCCCACATCTGACTGAGGGCTGATCTCCAAAATTTACAAAGAACTCAAGAAGCTATTCTCCAAAACACCAAAGGACCCAAATAAAAAGTGGGGAACTGAACTAAATAGAGATTTCTAAATAGAGGAGACTAAAATGGCTGAGAGGCACTAGTGAAAGTGCTCAGTATCCTTAGCCATTAGGGAAATGCAAATCAAAACAACCCTGAGATATCATCTTACTCCTGTAAGAATGTCGAAAATCAAAAATACCAATGACAGCTTATGCTGGAGAGGATGTGGAGAAAGGGGAACACTCGTCCATTGCTGGTGGGAGTGCAAACTTGTATAGCCACTTTGGAAATCAGTATGGAGATTCCTCAGAAAAATGGGAATCAGTCTACCACACGACCCAGGAATTCCACTCTTAGGCATATATCCAAAAGAGGCAAATTCATACAACAAGGATGTCTGTTCCACTATGTTCATAGCAGCATTATTTGTAATAGCTAGATCCTGGAAGCAACCTAGATGCCCTACAACTGAAGAATGGATAGAGAAAATTTGGTACATCTACACAATGGAATACTACTCAGGGGGAAAAAAATAACGGAATCTTGAAATTTGCAGGCAAATGGATAGCACTAGAAGAAACCATCCTGAGTGAGGAAACCCAGTCACAAAAAGACAAACATAGTATGTACTCACTCATATATGGATTTTAGACATGGATCAGGGGAGTGTCAGCCTACAATCCCATGGCTAGTGAGTCTGGGAAACAGGGAGGTTCCCAAGAGATATACATTATACCCCAGAGAAGTGGAAAGAGGCAAGATCTCCTGAGCAGATTGGGAACATGGGGAGAGAAGAGAGGGAACCACGAAAAAGAGAGACAGACTCTGGAGATACCCCCAAGGAGGGCCTTACCCTCCCTGGGGAATGATGTGGGGATTGGGCTGGGGGTAAGGGGTAGGGGTGGGGCTGGTGGAGGGAGAAGGGGGGAGCCGGGACTGACATTTGAAGCATGCATGTTTCTAATTTAAATAAAAACATACATAAAATAAAAAGTACAGAAGAACAACAACAAAAAAGAATGAATGGATCTTAAGACAAAGTATCCACAGTTCACAGTGTTTACACTCGGTGAATCAATACTTCATTGGGCTTTTAACACACAAACAAGTATTTACATGTGCTAAACTTCTACTTCACTTACAACTTCTGTAAAAACTGCATCCCATGCCATGCTTGAAATGTTCCAAAGCTCAGCTCAGCAAGTAAATTGCACCCAAGGTTCCTAAAATAGTGGAAAAAAAGACATAAGCCAATGAAAAGACAGTCTTTATAACATTTGCATTTGTGGTGATTCTAATTTATATATAATTAAACATAATCCCAATATTTTCTCCACTTGCTAAAGAAATCTCAGGATGATACTGGTTTATGATTTACACTTTCATATTTACACATGTAATATATTAGCCACAGTAAATGCTCAAATTTTTTTTCAGTGATCTTTACTTCTCTAAGAGAGGGTTTTTGGCACCTCTGATATCTTGGGTTGGACCACTCTATCGCGGAGGTTTGTTGTATATACTGGAGGATACTGAGGACCAGCTATGCTGTCTGCCCACTTGATGGCAGTAGCTTTTCCACAATTGCCAAGGCTGCACCATCACACTGAGTGAGAAATGGTGCTGTCACTATGCACTCTGACCCGGCAGAATTCTCATGTTCATCTTTATTACAGACTAAGAGGATTTGGCATAGAATTTTTATGACGTTTTACTTGCAGCAAGTTTTAGTTATTGTACTAAACAATAGATTTCATCCTGACAACTTCATGTACATATCTCTATCTCATTGTACTTTGCTCTAATCTGTCCCACTACTCTCCACTCTACTCGGCTGGTCTTCTCCCTCTCTATACAGTCCTTTCCTGTCTTGTTACACACAGACACACACACAGACACACAGGCACACACACAGACACATAGACAGACACACAGACATACACACACTCACACACAGACACACACACACAGACACACACACACTCACACACAGACACACACACAGACACACTCACACACAGACACACTCACACACAGACACACTCACACACAGACACACTCACACACAGACACACAGACATACACACTCACACACAGACACATACTCACACGCACACTCAGAGACACACACTCACGCACACAGATACACACACGATTAATTGCCCATATTTGAGAAAACATGATGCTTTAGCTTTCTTTATCCCATTATCCCCTTTGTTCTCCATCTTCTAGACTCCCTTCTCACCCCTCATAGTGTTACTTCTATTTTCAGCACACACACATAAAATCAAGAAATGTAGTTCAGTGGCAGAACACTTGCTTAGCAGGTAACAAGACCCTAGGTTTGCCCCCATCACCAAAACAAATAAAAATGCAATATTTGCCTTTTTGAGTCTAGCTTATTTCCTACTAGCAAAGTTGTAATTCAGATATCAAAAAGTCACAAGGGGGGATTAAAATTCAAATATGAAGGGATTATATTTGAAACTTACATATACTTCAGAAAAGGTAATGACTCAAATGCCCTTCTTTCAATATAGCGTATTCTATTGCAAGATAAATCCCTAGGAAACATAAAAGAGAAATATTGTTTTGCTTAGCTATTAGATATCTAGTGAGCATGACTAGTAGAATTTAGAGTTGTCAATAGAAAATACATTTTGTTTAAACTCTAAACCTTTGGATTTGAATATATTAGAGCCACTTACTTTGTCCATCCATCTCCCAAGAGTTTCATCCTTTATAGTATTCATAGATATAAAACTATAAGTCTTGATAGATTTTTTGAATTAGTTATTTTGAGAGATTACATGGCTTTCTATGTTTGAAACAGGGTTTTTCCATGTAGGCTAGGCTGACCTCAAATGCCCAGTTTTCCTACCTCAGCCTCCTGAGTCCTAGAATTACTGGCATATACCTGGTACCTGGGACCTCTGAAGATGCAGGTTCTCAGCTGTACTTCAGACTTGCTGATTCAGTAACTGCATTGAGAAGTGATGCAAGCCCTTCAGGTGATGTGGCAAGGCTCCTGGCTGTCTGAGAGCACTGTTGCAGTTCCATGGTTGTCCCCATGGTACCTTGGCTTGGCATTCAAATCCCTGAATGCCTGGCTCTACAGGTGCTGTGGGCATTCATCTAACTCATGTTTTTGCTTTTGTCTTCACTCTTGTTTTTAGTGACTAACATATTCTTCCCCAAGAGAGCTGTCTGGGGCTGGTGAGATGTGTTAATGTGTACGGACACCTATGGCAAAGACTAATGACCTGAGTTTGACCTCCCCCAGATACCCATGGTGGAAGGAGAGAACCAAATCCTGTAAGTTGTTATTTGATCTCCACGTTTGTCTCTGGCATGAACTCTCTCTCTCCTCTCTCTTCTCTCTCTCTTCTTTCCCCCCTCACACACACGCACATACACACACAAACATAATAATGAAAGGTTTTTAAAAAGAGGACTGATGATTCCTAATGATACTCAATGTTCAATTGATTTGGTTCCAGAATGGTGGTGTGTGCCTGTAATCCCAGCACTCAGGAGGCAGTGTGATTTCTGAGTTCAAGACCAGCCTGAACTACACTGAGTTCTAGGACAGCCAGGGCTACAGAGGCGATTGTTTCAAAACACCAAAGGGGGGAAAAACTGCACACGTTGTTTCAAGGAAGATGGTCTTTGAAACTAAGTCAAGTCTTCTCTTGTGTGTCATATATGTCCCAGTTAATTTTTAGAAGGTCTCTCAATTTAAAAAAATTACCTAAAGCTGGCAGAGCAGTGGTGGCACACACCTTTAATTTCAGCACTTGGGAGGCAGAGGCAGGTGGATCTCTGTGAGTTCAAGGCCAGCCTGGTCTACAGAGCAAGTTCCAGGACAGCCAGGGCTACCTAGAGAAGTCTTGTCTATAAAAACACAAAACAAACAAAAATTAGCTAAATAGAATATATCAAACACTGTGCCTATTATTGGAGGCATGGCAATTTATACCTTTGTATCTATATTTATTATTATTTTTATTATTATTTTTGTCTATCACAAGTTCCTTGAATTGTGCTGATTTTACTTATTTTCATTGCCTACCAAGTTCTAGACTGACACAATATTTCAGCAAACTGAATTTATAAAAGAAAGAACTGCAGATGGTATATGTGCATGACTATTCTGGAAGGAATTCAGTTCATGGTTTCATGGCTGACCCTTGCTGTGTACCTCTGCAGCATTATGATTTGAGTTTGTGTGTTCATTCCTTAATCTGAGAGGGAGTAAATCATGCTGTGCCTCCAATTATAGGCACAGTGTTTAGCTAGTTTTTTAAGTTGAGAGGCATTTAAAAAATTAATTGAAATATGTATGCTAACATGAAACAATTGCCTGCTACAAATATAAATAATAAAAGGACTACTCCATTGAGGAGTTCTTTCTTTCTTTTTCTCCAAACATATTCATAAGGCTTGAGACTGGTTCAGATGCATAAGATCTCAAAAAGGTCAATTCAGAGTTGCACACACCTTTAATTCCAGCACTTTTGAGGCAGAAGCAGGTGAATCTTTGTGAGTTCAGGCCAGTCTGATCTACATAGCAAGTTCCAGGCCAGCCAGGGCTACATGGTGAGGCCTTGTCTCAAACAAAACAAAAGTAGTATCCTTTGGGGCCTAGAAGGAAGATTTTTAACACATGAAAGGCTCTGTATATGCACTTCCCAAGAGTTGTTTACAATAGAGAACATAATCTATTTGCTTAAAGGTGTCACTATTTGGCTCAGTAAGGAGTAAGAGCATACACCCATGGGTAAAGGATATAAACCAAGTTTTCATAGCAAATAACAGTATAGTCTCTAGATTTTTAGAGGAGATCATGAATGCAGACACCTGCTACCACAAATTATGCAGTCAAGTTTCCCAAATTGGGGAAATTGCAAGGATCAGCACATCCAGAGTTCAGTGGATAAGCCTCGCCCCAGGAAAACCACCTTCATGATCACAATATCTCCCTGCCAGTTAAGTATTGTATTCTTATCTCTAAACAAGCAGAATTATTGTGGCAAGTAGTCCCTCCTTGGCAACAAGATTGTTGAAGTTTTTATTGTTTAGTTAGTGAATGGTAGGGGAATTTCTGATATGCTCACTTACAATAAACTGTTCTAGATATATATTTTTTAGTCTGGGTTTCACTGTGTAGACCTGTTTGGCCTGGCACTAACTAGGAATACCTCTTAAGCATCATTTCAAATATCTATTTCTGACATGGGCATGAAATTCTTACATTGAGAGCCTTAATAGAAGTCAGTTCTCCTGACAGGTTTATCATGTTGCTATCATTTATGTAATTTGTGTGTTCATCTAATTATTTAACATTGCAATGTTAAATCTAAGTCAGATTAATTGTAAGAACAAGTTGGATTGGTAGGCACATTCCTGTAATTCCAGCATTTGAGTTGGAAGACTAAGGTAAGAGGACTGGGATAAGGTCAGCCTACACCATATAGTGGGATATAGTACAGTTGGCAGAGTGTTTTCCCAGCATACAGGAAGCATTGGGTTGGTCCTCAAGACTGCATGAACTGTGTGGTGATGAATGCCAGTAATCCTAACACTTGGGAGAGTCAAAAGAAGCAGATATTCAAGGCAAACCTTTGATTTTTAGAGAATTTAAGGTCAGTCTGGGCTTATATTAGGCCATTATTCAAAATGGAAACAAACATACAAACAAAACAAAAAACCCACAAACTGTTAAAACACTCTGGGTTGTGTTCAAGGCCAGCCTGGTCTACAGATTGAGTTCCAGAACAGTCAAGACCGCACAGATAAACTCTGTCTTGAAAAACAAAAACAAACAAACAAAAAACCAAACAACAAATGAAAAACCCCCAACAAAACAACTCCCCCAAACACTCTGGGTTAATGACCTTCAAGTTAAAGAGGATGGCTCTTTCCTTGTCTTATATGCAACAGTTTGAAGCTGGTATTAATTCCTTCTATCCTGCCATGCCATCTTTTTTTTTTGTAAAGATTAGATTAGCAAATATTTTAGACTTTGCAGGCCATACATAGTCTCTATTGAACATTCTTTATTGGTTCTATTTTTTTCTTTTTTTAGCTCTTCTAATGATTGGATATGAAGTACACCCCCTCCCCAATAAGAAAAGGACCAGATACTGTAGGTTTGGTTCTCAGCTGGGGGGTCTATTGGTTGGTAGACACTAAGGTCATTCATGTATTAACTCACAGAGGATTCCCTATCTGAATGTGCTCTGAGTAGGTGAAGCCTAATTGGAGGAAACAGGTGAATGGGGGCATGTCTTATTACTGGGAATTTCTTCTTTCTGAAGCTTTGTCCTACCACAGCCTTCCATGGTGCTTTGCCTCACCATGGGCCCAGTAACAATGGAACCAGCTATCATAAACCAAAACCCTCTGAACTGAAGGGCCAAAATGAATCTTGTCTCTTTCAAGTTGTTCTCATCAAGCACTTGGTCACATCAACAAAAAGGCACTGGTGTAAGTCCCCTAAAAGTGTCAAACCACTCCTAATCATGGGCTGTAGAAAATGAGAACATGGATCAGACTTGATAGAGGTATGACAGACTAGATCCAAATGCAAGCATTTGCCTTAGGAAACAAGGGTCATGTGTGTTCCAGTAATTGCTCAGACCTTACTAACATTTTCCCCCTGCAAATGGAGTTCTTCTATCTGAAGCCTGTCTATATGATTTAAGAAATTTAAAGTGTATAGAGACATTTTCAAGTCTCCCCATGAGATTGGCTGACTACAAATTTGTTTTATTATGTCTTTGCCTTTAGAGCCAGGGTCTTGTCAAGCAGCTCTGGAATGGGTATGAAATCCACAATGTAGACTATGCAAATCTCCAACATAGCAATCTTCCTGTTTTCTACCTCCTCAGTCCTTGGTAGTTTATAGTCAAGCACTGTCAAATCCAGTCAATAACTGCACAATTTTATTGCTTGAAGAGATGTTAGTATCTAATTCAAATCCCTTGTGCATCTATAGATAACTCATAACTTACAAATAGATATGCTTAACTAACTTACAAAACCTGGAGGGAGAGTAGGCCTTCAAATGAGTCCTTACGTAATTCAGTCAGATGATTTTCACTGAGAATTCTGGAAGATTAAAAGGTTATCTGGATCAAAAATCATCAAACAGATGAAATGGGATGAGGAAATATATGTTGTCATATGCTACTGCCTAGAGCACAAGTTGGTACTATTTATTTTTAGGGCAATTAAATTTTCATCTGTACAATGGTCTTCACCCTAGAGATTCCATTTATAGGTATCTAGTTTACAGAAACTTGTGCATGTTCAGAAAGAAGTACATAGGATGCTCACTACAGCCATACATATAGCAGAAGAACCAGATATTCTCTGAACATCAGTAGGGTAATACTAAGTTCTCACTGGTGTGTACACACTATGAAATATTATACATGATTGGGAATAAACATGATAACTATGTGTTAAAGGTAAACTTTACACATCATAAAGTGAAACATCAAATTGCAGGAGTTACCATTTGTGTAAACAATGATAAATAGGTGTCAAATCTATTTTTCTAACTATGTCTGGAAAGATATATACCAATTTCACAGTAGTTACCTGTCCTAGTTAGTTTGTTTTTCAACTTGACACAAACTAGGGCCATCTGCAAAGAGGGGATTTCAGTTGAGAAAATGTCCCCACTGTGGGCAAGTGGGGCATTTTCTTTATTAATTATTGATGTGGGCAGGTGGTCCTGGGGTGTAGCCAGGAGAAGCCACCCAGTAAGCAGTGTTCTTCCACTGCTTCTGTTTCAGTCCTGCTTCTGAGTTCCTGTCTTAAGTTCCTGCCCTGACTGCCTTTCATGATGAATTACAACTGTAAGATGAAGTAAATTCCTCCCCGCTCAGTTGCTTTTGTCTTCATCACAGCAAAACAAAACTAGTACATTACCTCAGAGGTGAGAAATTAGGACACATGACAGGTTTCTCTAGACTGGAATATTTAATTTACATCCATTAAGAATGTAATTGTAGGTCAGGTGTGGTGACACATATCTTTAATCAAGCACCTAAGAGGGAGAGGCAGGCATATCTCTTTGACTTTGAGGTCAGCCTGGTCTACTTAGTGAGTTTCAGGCCAGTCAAGGTTACGTAGAGAGAACCTGTCTCAAAAACACAACCAAAAAATGTTATGATAGATGACTTCTATATGGGAGACAAATTTAAATTGCCACTTTTCCCCCAAAGAAAGCCCATAAAATTTAATTTTAAACTCTGGGCAGCAAAATAACCCCAAGGGAAAGGGGACTTGCGGCCAAGACTGACACCTGGTCCAATCTCCTGGACCAGCTTGGCAGGAGGAGGAGACCAAGTTCCATAAGCTGTCCTCTGACCCTACACATACACTCACTGGCTTTGTGTGGAAATGCATACAAAATAAAATGTATAATAATTTTTGGCTTAACTAAAGGTGTTCAAACCTATGGCTTTATTCACGATAGGCAATTATTCTCCCCCTGAGCTACACCTTGGTCCCCACAAAATTTGCCAGAGAAATTCAGTTAACATAAGTTGATTTGAGCTGTGAAGAATAAATACCTTTTCTCAGAGGTATTTACCTCAAAATCTGGCCCTAGAAGGATCTTATTGTGTAGTGTTTTTTGTTTTTGTTTTTTTATGATCATATTTATAGAAAATATACTCACAGTTTTTCAGCCCAACGGTATGCTTTCCATACATTTTTGTCAATGTAAGAAATAACATTTCCTTGGAAATTCCTGTGAAGAAGCAGTTCACATATTTGAGTAAATAGGAAAAGAATAAGCAGGAGGAGTAAAAATCATCACACCCTCGTGGAGGTGTTCAATGCAGAACAAAGGAAACCACCAAGCTTCTAATTCCCAGCTCTATCAGTTTACAAGTGCCACTAGTGCAAGCAGTGAGACATTTCCTCGAAACTTGAACTTCTAATCTGTGGGTGCACATTCTACTTTTCTCTTTGGTGTATACTCTACAGCCCAACTCTAAATTTAATCAGTCACTCAATCCTGTCTTCTCTTTCTCATGGGCCACCATGGTGGAGGGCTTGGATGGGTGTGTGTGTGTGTGTGTGTGTGTGTGTGTGTGTGTGTGTGTATGTATGTATATATGTACACATATGTTTATAATCTAAAGTGATCCAAGATATGAGAATGGTGGAATACGTCCATAATCCTAATACTTGAGAGACCAGGCAGAAGGACTGGAGACTCCAGGCCAGACTATACTACTATTTTGTCTTTATAAAAAATAATTCTCCTGTTTTTTTACTTTTTCTTTCTTTCCTAGAAACTTCTAATGTTTCCTGGTGTTACTGTCTAAATCCTGTAGTTGATAGTCAGATCTTACACAGTATTTGTGCTTGTTTACAATCTGACTAGTCTAAATCCCCATTATTCTAACAGCCATGCCTTTGCCTAGGCTGTACTCTCGGATTTCACTCTGTTCAACAATAGGCATCCTTTGAGCTGCAGGTAAAGGATTAATGATCCCTTTTCCCAATGTATCATTTTCATTTTATATGGACAACACCATACATATGTGGCTCTCATAGTTCTTAATCTCAAGTTGTTTACAAAAGGTTATATGTCCTAGAACAAAGGTGAGCTCTAAACAGAACTAAGAGATTGCATAGCATTAATAGCTAACATTCATGTAAGCTAAGAACTAAGATAAATATCACACGTAGTCAACTAAACCTCACAACAATCCCATGAAATAGTAGCTATCATACTCCCCATTTTACAGGTGAGGGAATTAAACACAGCTAAGCATCTTCCTAGAGCTGCAGAGCTACCACATGAAAGACCTAGGATAAGACCCCAGGAGTGTGCCTCTGGAATCTCCTCTGACCTCTTTGTTGCATTAATGAGATGAGTTTTAAAGAGGCTGGAGTGAAAATGGAAGAGCCAAAGTTGAGCAATGATATAATGGGCCAATTGAAGAAGGGGCACTGTAGTAAGGAGGAGGATGAGGACAAGGAGGACTTTACAAGCAAAGATAAAGCAGACAGTCAGCCAGTGTTGGCCATGGGGTCAAGGAAGGTCCATTAAGGCTTTGAGGAAAAGGCTGCCATGTCAAGTTGAATGTAAAACAGAAATAAGAAAAGGTTATTCTTACAAAGTAGTTAAGGTGCCTTTGTAGGTGTTGGGCCTTAGCAAAGGCACTTGGTGGAGTCTCCGCATTGGGCTCAGATGAATACACAACAGTGTCTCATTTTCACACAAGCAGAAGTCACATATGCTGATGCCTGTGGAGGCATTTTGTTTTATTTTAATGATTAACTCTTTTTCTGTATTAGAATTTGTAGCATATGGGGTCACGGTAAGTTCCATATCCATCGGTTGAAGTGTGACTTCATTTGGGATTTGCCGAGTCTGAACCTGATCTGTAGGTGGAAGTATCACCTTAGGATATGATGAAGGAGCTGTGGTTGTTGGAACTTCACCTTCTATAGTTTCTGAGATTGGGGACTGATCTTGATCTTGAGCTGATGTTAGAACTGTTGTCTCATAATTTTCTGTATACTGAGATGTAGTCTCAGGAGAATGGCTAATTACTGTAACAGATTGTGGAGTTGTGGAAGGTTCTCTGTGTGAAGACTGAGTTGTGACTTCAGTTGGATTTGGCTGCTGAGTCTGAACCTGGTTTGAAGGCGGAAGTGTCACCTCATGTTGTGTTGGAGAAGGGGATGTAGTTGGGACTATGGGAAATGTAGCTTCTGGATGAGTAGCTGTTGGGATTGTAGGATGTGTAGTCTCTTTAGTTGTTGAGATGGTGGAATATGCAGTATCTGGTTGATTAGCTGTTGGGACTATAGAATATGTAATCTGTTGATTAGTTATTGGGAGGGTGGAATGTATAGCCTCTGAGTTTGGATGCTGAGACTGATCATGAATTAGAACTGTCATTTCAACATGTAATGAAGATTGAGCTACAGTCTCCTTAGGTGACTCTGTAGGCTGAACTGGTGCTGAACGTTTAACCATTGTAGCAGGCCGTGGAGTTATGGAAAACTCTGGGTGTGAGGGATGAATTGTGGCTTGAGTTGGGTTTACATGCTGAGCCTGAACTTGATCTTCAGGTACAAGGGTCATCTCTTGGTGTTTTGGAGGAAGAGCTGTAATATTGTATGGGACTACAAGAAGTTCAGTCTCTACACTGGATATTGTGGTTTGGGCTGCGCTATGCTCTACTTCTATATGATGAACATGCTGAACCATGTCTTTAGAAGGAATTGGATGCTGAGTTTGATCCTGAATTGGTGGTATTTCATAAAATACTGGGGCTTGAGCTGCAACCTCCTCATGTGGCTGTTCAGGCTCAGGAAGGATTTCCTGTGTGCTTGGAGAAGGTTCAACATTCATATAGGAACTTGTAGTTACTGTAAGTTCCAGATCCAAAGGTTGAACTGTAACTTCAGTTAGATTTGGATGTTGAATATGAGCTTGTTCTGGAAGTGTTGTATCATGGTACTGTGTAGGAGAAACTGTAGTTTCCTGTGAGGTAGTAGAATGTTCAGCCTCTTTGGTAGGCTCTGAATTTATAGTGAGTTCTAGGTCCAAAGGCTGAAATGAGACAACAGGTGTTGTTGAATACTCAGTTGGATCCTGACTTGGTGGTGTTAAAACTGTCACCTCTGGATTTACTGGGGCTGGAGTGACAACCTCTTTAGTTGGATCTGAGAGTTGAGTTGTAATCTGCTGGATAGTTTGAGAAAGTTCTCCCTCAGTAGTAGATTGCGGAGTTATGGTATGTTCCAGATCTAAAGGTTGAGTTGTGACTTCAGTTGGATTTGGATGGTGAAGGAGAAGCTGTTCTGGGAGTGTCACCTGAGGGGGTTTTGGAGGAGGAATTGTAGTCTCCATTGTGGTTGTAGGTGGCTGAGTCTCTCTAGTAGGCTCTGAACTTATGGTGAGTTCCAGGTCCAAAGGCTGGGATGTAACAACAGGTGAAGCTGGATATTCAATGGGATCCTGACTTGGTATTGGAAATGTCACCTCCTGATATACTGGAGCTTGAGCTACAGCTTCTTTTGGTGGATCTATAGGCTGAGTTGTGCTCTCCTGTGTAGTTTGAAAAAGTTCTCTCTCAGTAGAAGATTGTGAAGTTATGGTAAGTTCCAGATCCAGAGGTTGAACTGTGACTTCAGTTGGGTTTGGATGATGAAGGAGAAGCTGTTCTGGGAGTGTTGGAAATGTCACTTCTTGAAATACAGGGACTTGAGCCTGTAGCTCTTTAGGTGGATCAGAGGGTTGAGTTATGGTCTCTTGCATAATTTGAGGAGGCTCTACTTCAGCAGTAGGTTGATGAGTTACGGTAAGTTCCAGATCCAAAGGTTGAACCTGAGGATGTGTTGGAGGAGGAATTGTAGTCTTCTTCGTGGTTGTAGGAGGCTGAGTCTCTCTGGTAGGCTCTGAACTTATGGTGAGTTCCAGGTCCAAAGGCTGAAATGAGACAACAGGCATTGTTGGATACTCAGCTTGACCCTGTTGTGGTGTTGGAACTGTCACCTCTTGATATACTGGGGCTGGAGCTACAACTTCTGTAGGTGGTTCTGTAAGATGAGTTGTGCTCTCTGGCATAGTTTGAGGAAGTTCTCCCTCGGGAGTAGGTTGTGGAGTTATAGTAAGTTCCAGATCCAAAGGTTGAGCTGTAACTTCACTTGGACTTGGATGCTGAATGCGAAGCTGCTCTGGAAGTATTACCTGAGGGGGTTTTGGAGGAGGAACCATAGCCTCCTTTGGGGTTGTAGATGGCTGAGTCTCTCTAGTAGGTTCTGAACTTATGGTGAGTTCCAGGTCCAAAGGCTGAAATGAGGCAACAGGCATTGTTGGATACTCAGCTTGATCCTGACGTGGTGTTGGAATTGCCACCTGTTGATATACTGGCACTGGAGCTACCACCTCTGTAGGTGGTTCTGTAATCTGGGTTGTGGTTTCTGGCACAATCTGAGGAAGTTTTTCCTCAGGAGTTGTTTGATGAGTTATGGTAAGTTCCAGATCCAAAGGTTGAACTGTAACTTCACTTGGGTTTGGATGCTGAATGTGAAGTTGCTCTGGAAGTATTACCTGAGGGGGTTTTGGAGGAGGAACTGTAGTCTCCTTTGGGATTGTAGATGGCTGAGTCTCTCTAGTAGGTTCTGAACTTATGGTGAGTTCCAGGTCCAAAGGCTGGAATGTGACAGCTTGTTCTTGACGTGGTGTTGGAAACATCATCTCCTGATATATTGGGGCTGGAGTTAGATTTTCTGTAAGTAGTTCTGTAAGGTGAGTTGTGCTCTCTGGTGTGGTTTGAGGAAGTTCCTCAGGAGTTGTTTGATGAGTTACAGTAAGTTCCAGATCCAAAGGCTGAACATGAGAGGGCTTTTTTGTGGCTGTAAGAGGTTGAGTCTCTCTAGTAGGTTCTGAACTTATGGTGAGTTCTAAGTCCAAAGGTTGAAATGAAATAACAGGTGCTGTTGGATACTCAGCTTGATCCTGATGTGGTGTTGGAACTGCCACCTCCTGATATAGTGGGGCTGGAGTTAGAATTTCTGTAAGTAGTTCTGTGAGATGAGTTGTGCTCTCTGGTATGGTTTGAGAAAGTTCCTCAGGAGTTGTTTGATGAGTTACAGTAAGTTCCAGATCCAAAGGTTGAACCTGAGGATGTGTTGGAGGAGGAATTGTAGTCTCCTTTATGGTTGCAGGTGGCTGAGTCTCTCTAGTAGGCTCTGAACTTATGGTGAGTTCCAGGTCCAAAGGCTGAAAGGAAGCAACAGGCATTGTTTGATACTCAGCATGATACTGACCTGGTGTTGGAACTGTCACCTCCTGATATAGTGGGGCTGGAGCTACAACTTCTGTAGGTGGTTCTGTAATCTGAGTTGTGGTCTCTGGCATAGTTTGAAAAAGTTCTCCCTCGGGAGTAGGTTGTGGAGTTATGGTAAGTTCCAGATCCAAAGGTTGAGCTGTTGGATGGGGAATATCAATATGAGGATGCTGTGGAGGAGGAATTATAGTCTTTTTTGTGGTTATGGGTGGCTGAGCATCTCTAGTAGGTTCTGAACTTATGGTGAGTTCCAGGTCCAAAGGCTGAAATGAGGCAACAGGCATTGTTGGATACTCAACTTGATCTTGATGTGGTGTTGGAACTGTCACCTCCTGATATAGTGGGGCTGGAGTTAGAATTTCTGTAAGTAGTTCTGTGAGATGAGTTGTGCTCTCTGGTGTGGTTTGAGGAAGTTCCTCAGGAGTTGTTTGATGAGTTATGGTAAGTTCCATATCCAAAGGCTGAACATGAGAGGGCTTTTTTGTGGCTATAGGAGATTGAGTCTCTCTAGTAGGTTCTAGGTCCAAAGGTTGAAATGAAATAACAGGTGCTGTTGGATACTCAGCTTGATCCTGATGTGGTGTTGGAACTGCCACCTCCTGATATAGTGGGGCTGGAGTTAGAATTTCTGTAAGTAGTTCTGTGAGATGAGTTGTGCTCTCTGGTGTAGTTTGAGGAAGTTCCTTAGGAGTTGTTTGATGAGTTATGGCAAGTTCCAGATCCAAAGTTTGAGCTGGGTTTGGATGCTGAGTCTGATGTGGAAATGTTACCTGGGGCTGTGTTGAAGGAGGTGTAGTCTTCGTTGGTGCTCGAGTATGTTGTGAAGTTACGGTGAGTTCCAGGTCCAAAGGCTGAAATGAGATAATGGGTGATGTTGGAAACTCAGCTTGAATCTGACCTGGTGTTGTGACTAGCATCTGATGTGTTGGAAGGTGAGTTACAATATTGTTCATTGACTCTGGAAGCTGGTGTGGGACTACTTGCTGGGTTGAAGAAAGCTCTATCTCCTTAGGGTTTTCTAAAGACTGTGTGGGGGTGGGCTGTAGCACTGGAGATGGTTCCACACTCTCAGAGAGATCTGCAGGTTGAGAGCGGATCATATACTGAGCTGGAGAAGGTTCTACACCCATAGTGGAATCTGGAGGTATATATGGGCCTTCCTGCTGAGTTGGGAAAGGAAGGACCTCTTTGTGGAGGCCTGTTTTCTGAGCTATGGCCTCTTGCTGAGGAAATTCAGTTCCAGGGAATTCTGGTGTATGGGAAGGGGACTCAATTTGGTCTTGTGAAAATTCAATTTGTTCACTGGGAGATACAGGCTGAACTACGTCCTCCTGAGCCTGAGGAGATTCAGCTTCCATAGAGGACTCTGGAGCTCTGGTATATGCTTGGTTTGGATGTTCAACTGTGGTATTATGCATTGAATGCTCATATCTGAATATTGCTTCTAGATCTTCAGGTGAAAAGTATAGGGTATCTCCCAAAGGAGGAAGAAAGAGATCATCTTTAGGTGGTTCTAGAGGCTGATCTGGGAGTTCTTGCTGATATGGTGAAAATTCTTCACCTAAAGGGTGGTTTAGGGGTGGAGACAAGTTCCCCTGCTGACCTGAAGAAACTTCCCCAGCATGCTCTACAGACTGGGTTGGGGCCCCTGTTTGAACTGGAGAATGTTGATGCTCTTCAGGGGGGGTTGGATGCTCAGTTGTAACTTCTTCTTGCTGATCTTTTGAAGGTTCAAACCCCTGTTGGATTGAAGTTTCAATTTCATTAATCAACTCTGGAGGCTTAGCTGTGACATTGTGTGATGCTGGAGGAAGAACTTGACTATGAACCAGGTCAGAACCTGTTGCCTCATGGTGTGCTGGAGGTTGAGCTACTGTCTCATGAGGGTGCTCTGAAAGTTGCAGTTGGGACTCCTGCTGGGCTGAAGAAGGTTCCACTTCTTCTAAGAGCTCTGAATTCTCATCTGTGTCCTCCTGCTGGCTCAGAGAAGGCTTTTCAGACTGAACAGGTTCTAGAGATTGAACTGGAGCCTCCTGCTGGTTTGATAAGAGTTCAACCCCTTCAGAAGGCTCTGGAGTTACAGCTGGATTGGTATAGTGGGTTGTAGAAGTGCCCACATCCTTTTCTGGGACTGTAATTGGTTTAGGTATAGCCTCATGATGCACTGGAGGAGGTCCCACCTCTGCTGTGGGTCCCTGTGTTATGGTAAGCTGCACATCTGGAGGTTTAACAGTCATAGTGGATAAGCTTGAAAGGTGAGTTTGATGGTGAGTTGTGGGTGAAAGTGTCACTTCATGATGTTCTGAAGACTGAGTTGGTTGCTCTTGTTGGATCAGAGGTTCCCCCTCTCCAGTATACTCTGGACGATGCATCGGGAACTCCTGCTGGGTCAGAGAAGATTCCATCCCCTTGGTAGGCTCTGAAGTTATGGTAAGTGCCACATCCACAGGTCTAACTGTAACATGTGGCAA